CATGTATGAAGAAGTACACCCCTGCAGGGTTAACATCATCTATTCGAATAGCCGTGTCCGCGGAAAAGGACTTCTTGGTTGCTTATATCAGTTCATAGACAAGTGAAAGTGGATACTCTAAAATACGCAAGATAAGCGTGAGTGCTATGGATGGCGTTCTCGTAGGGAGACGAGAGCGGACCCATAGTGGTGTATTGATATGGTGAATATGTGGACTCGTGTGCGCCACCTCAAAAGAGTTACATTGCAGTCGTAGTTCAGGATAGCCACCGAGTCAAAGCTGGCTTGCTGCAGTTAAACCCCACCATCCCCTTGGTTGATAATGATGCATATGTAGTTAGTTCTGATGTAAGTCTTGCTGGGTACATTTGTACTCACGTTTGCCTATTTTATGTTTTTGCAGAGAGACTTCGGTCTCACTAGTAGTTTCGCGTGGACTTCGACGTTTAGCTTGTTACCTCAGCTACGATCTTGTGCCCTCGGCAGGATCTGATAGATAGTCAGGCTTCTCAGCCTTTTTCATTTATAGATGTCTGTACTCAGACGTGATAGCTTCCGCTTGTGCTTTGACTTGTATGCTCTGAATGTTGGGTCATGAGACCTATGTTTGTAATATCTCGCTCCTCGGAGCCTATTGAATATTTACTTGTGTCGTAGAGTCATGTTGTGATGCCTTGTTGTATTTGCACATATCGAGCATTTTGTGTGTATGATTGAAATGCTTGGTATGTGTGGGATCTGACTATCTAGTTATTTATCCTTAGTAGCCTCTCTTACCGGGAAATGTCTCCTAGTGTTTCCACCGAGCCATGGTAGCTTGCTACTGCTCCGGAACACTTAGGCTGGCCGGCATGTGTCCTTCTTCGTTCCTGTGTCTGTCCCTTCGGGGAAATGTCACGCATTGAGTATCGGAGGCCTGTTAGCCCGCTACAGCCCGGTTTATCGGAGTCCTGCTAGCCCAGTGCTACAGCCCGGACCCACTTGCTGATGACCGACACGTTCGATGCTGGTCATGGATGCCTGTCCCTGTAAGTCTGTGCCACTTTGGGTTTACGACTAGCCATGTCAGCCCGGGCTCCTTATCATATGGGTGCTAGCGACACTATCATATACGTGTGCCAAAAGACGCAAACGGTCCCGGGCAAAGGTAAGGCGACACCCGTGGGAATACCGTGCGTGAGGCCGCAAAGTGATATGAGGTGTTACATGCTAGACCTATGTGGCATCGAGTCGGGGTCCTGACAATCACAAAGGCAAATAATATGAGAAATAGACCCGGGGGCCATAGGTTTCACTAGTGGCTTCTCTCGAGAAAAATAGCAAACAGTGGGCAAACAAATTGTTGTTGGGCAATTGATAGAACTTCAAATACTCATGACGATATCTAGGCAATGATCATTATATAGGCATCACGTCCAAGATTAGTAGACCGACTCCTGCATGCATCTACTATTATTACTCCACACATTGACTGCTATCCAGCATGCATCTAGTGTATTAAGTTCATGCAGAAACGGAGTAATGCAATAAGAACGATGACATGATGTAGACAAGATCTATCTATGTCGAGATAGACCCCAATATTTTATCCTTAGTAGCAACGATACATCCGTGTCGGTTCCCCTTCTGTCACTTTGATCAAGCACCGTAAGATCGAACCCACTACAAAGCACCTCTTCCCATTGCAAGATAAATAGATCAAGTTGGCCAAACAAAACCCAAATATCGGAGAATAAATACGAGGCTATAAGAAATCATGCATAAAAGAGATCAAAGAAAGTCAAATACTTTCATGGCTATAAAAAGATAGATCTGATCATAAACTCAAAGTTCATCCGATCCCAACAAACACACCGCAAAAAGAGTTACATCATATGGATCTCCAAGAGACCATTGTATTGAGAATCAAACAAGACACAGGAAGCCATCTAGCTACTAACTACGGACCCGAAGGTCTACAAAGAACTACTCACGCATCATCGGAGAGGCACCAATGGAGGTGGTGAACCCCATCCATGAGGGTGTCTAGATTGGATCTGGTGGTTCTGGAGTCTGCGGCGGCTGGAATTGATTTCCGTCGACTCCCCTAGGATTTCTGGAATATTGAGGTATTAATAGAGCAAAGAGGCGGTCCGAGGGGCACCCGAGGTGGGCACAACCCACCAGGGTGCGTCTGGGCCTCCTAGTGTGCCCTGGTGGGTTGTGCTCTCCTAGGAGCACCCCCAGGCGTAGCCTTGGCCCATTAGGTGTCTTTTGGTCCATAAAAAATCTTCGTAACGTTTTGTGGCATTTGGACTCCGTTTGGTATTGATTTTCTGCGATGTAAATAACATGCAAAAACCAACAACTGGCACTTGCCACTATGTCAATAGGTTAGTACCAAAAAATGATATAAATGATTATAAAATGATTATAAAACATCCAAGATTTATAATATAAGAGCATGTAACAATCAAAAATTATAGATACGTTGGAGACATATCAGTCATCAAGCTTCCCAGTACGGAACGACACACCTGAAGGACATCTCGAGGACTTAGATCCCGACGACCTCTTTGAAGGGGCCAATGACTACTACATGCCGGATTCCGAGGAGGACGAGAGCCTCGGTACCGAGGACTACGTCGTCCCCGAAGATCCTTTCGAACAAGAGCGCTTCCGACAACGCCTCATTGCAATGGCTCGGAGCATGAAGCGCAAGCAGCAACACCTATAGGCCAACACCGACGCATTGCATGAATAGTGGGTTGAAGTGCTCGCTGCCGAGCAAGACATGGAAGACCGGTGCTGTAGCGCACCGACATGATACCCACGTAGGTGTCTCCTGTCGGAGTTTGACGAGGAGCTCGGCGATGACCATGACCGACCACCTAGAGGTCGGGACAGGCCAATGCGGGAAAACCTCAACGACCGGCCACCACACCTTTATGGCAAAGACCCCGTGGATTACCTTGATCCTCATGGCGCTCGATGTCACATTAAGGCAAACAGGGCACCTCCTTGGTCCATCTAGGGATCCAGAGGACACGCGCCCGTAGGGCCGGACGTCTATGACACCCGGATGGACAGGAACGGCCGCGCCCGAGATCAAGCCTACACACGGCTCTCACCCGACCTCCGATGGGACACCACCCGATTCCAAGGTCCAGCCCACCTGATCTGGTTTACAGATAGGGTAATGGAACATCAATTCCCTGTAGGGTTCAAACCCATCAATATATAATCAAACGATGGCACCACCGATCCAGCAGTATGGATCAAAGACTTCCTTCTCCATATACTCATGGCCAATGGAGACGATCTCCACACCATTAAATATTTCCCGCTCAAGCTAAAGGGTTTGGTTAGGCATTGGCTTAACAGCTTGCCTCCTCATTCTATTGGCAGCTAGGAGGCCCTCGGGGATGCCTTTCGGGCAAACTTCCAGGGCACATACATCCGACCTCCGGACGCTGATGACCTCAGCCGTGTAACCTAGCAGTCACACGAATCAGTCCAGAAGTTCTGAAACAGGTTCCTCACCAAGAAGAACTATATCATAGACAGCTCCGAAGCCGAAGCCATCGCCGCATTCAAAAACAATATCCGAGATGAATGGTTGGCCTGCCAGCCCGACCAAGATAAGCCGAGGACTATGGCAGCCCTCACCTCACTAATGAGTTGCTTTTGCGCAGTAGAAGACAGTTGACTCATGGTGAATCTAGAGGGGGAATCCTCTCCCGATCTACGAGCTTTTGGTTGTGACAGTGGGTGCGGTGCGTTGCGTTGACGAATGCCGATGCTTTGTGTCTTCGCGTATGTAGTTGCTTGGCTGCTCGGGCACAGAAAGGCAACGCGGGCTGGATCGCTCCCCTCGCTTTGCCAGTTTGCCACCACGCATGGGCAAATTTGACAATTTTAACATGTGGACGCAATCAATTCACAAAATGAACTACCCCTAAAACTATTTCACATGGCTGACCTTTTTGAGTGGCGCCCGACATGCAGGCGCCACACCCTACGGTGCAGCGCCTAGCTCTGGGGCATTGCACCTCTGTCCAGCGGTAGTCCTTAGGCCCGCACCCAGCAGTGCAGCGCCTCAGAGCTAGGCGCCACACATGTAATGTGCAACGCCTAGCCCTTAGGCATTGCACTCTGACTTAGAGGCAGCCGCCCGCTCTCCCTCCCCCCACCCCACCCCATTCGTTCCAGTTAGAAGTTACAGAGCAGCGGTGCCGGCAGCTTCCTACTCTCCCCCTCTCAATCCCCTCTCCCAAATCCTTCAGATCTGAAGATTTGGTCCGTGGATTTCTTCACCAATCCATCCTAGAAGGTACTCTCCTCCGATCCCCTTCTTTCTATCCATAGAATGTATGCTATTTTGAATATTTGGGGAACCCTTGTTAGATTTGATTAGATTAGAAGCTTGCATGTATTAGAATCTTGCATGTATTACATACCTAATCTTGCAACCCTAGTTTAGTTTATTTTAGTGAAAAGATATGGTTTGGATACATAGGTTGACATGTTATTTCTATGGAAAAGATATTTGTATTGAATCTTGCATAAAGTAGGCCTAGTTTAGTTTATTTGTATTGAAATTATATTCGTATTGACAAGAATGCTTTGGATACATATGCTTTGAATCTTGCATATAGTAGGCCTGCTTTAGTTTATTTGTATTGAAAAGATAATCATGTTGACAAGAATGCTTTGTTTGAAATTGTTAGGATGGTTTGGCTTCTCGATGATCATTGGGACCATCAACACCTGTCGTACGCTATGTCGGTGCAGCAGCAGGTAATAATGAAAGAAAGTGGCCGGTATTATGAATTTCGTGTTTATTTCAAACACAAATGCCCCATATGTAATTTTTTTGATTTGCTTGTTTGTAGGAGCTTCAACCTCTGAAGATTCGGCCTCACTGGGTCAACCTTGGGGTGATGCGCTATGATGAGCGATACACACCATATGTAAGGGAGACATGACTCCTCCCTTTCATTCAGTTGGTCAGCTGGTCGATGCCACGACTCAATGCTGCAGCAATCACCGCGCTTACTGATTGTTGGAGGCCAGAGACACACAGTTTCCATCTTCGGACCGGGGAGATGACCGTGACGCTCCAGGATATTGCTATGATCACCGATCTTCTTATCAAGGGGAATCCTCTATGTATGAGCACCGATTCTGATGGGTGGTGCGAGAAGATGCATGCCCTTATCGGTATGGTTCCTCCGGAGCCTCGGGAACCAGAAGCGGAAGACAAGAAGAAGGAAAGAGTCGCAGCCGGTGCTCCTTTCGGCTAGATTGCATGGAACTTTGCTACTTGCCCCGAGGAAGCTAATGAGGATGAGGTCAAGACATATGCTCGTGTCTACATATGGTACGTCATATCCAGGACTATGTTTGCTGATGGCACAGGCAAGAATGCTCCATGGATGTGGCTGAAGGCGTTGACCGTCTTCGATAGCAAATAGAGTTGGGGTTCGGCGACACTGGCTAATAGACAGGTAGAAAGTGTTTTATTTTTCACTTCATTGCTACATTATCAATGCAATCTTCCTGTTAATTCAACCATGTTCTCTTTTATGTGCTGTTGGATGACGCCTGTTGTAGGAAATCTGGAGGTATTGGTGGTTGTATGCTTGCACTTTCCATATGGAGCTAGGAGCGATTGCCGGTTGGACGACCGAAGACCGTGAAGTACGAGGATTGGGACAACAAAGACGACCCACTATGGCTCCTCACTTGGGCTTACAAGTGGGATGTGGTAAATGAGACGACGGATGATCCCTCGGTAATGCACAAGTTGTACAAGACCGAGCTGGACATGATTACGGCTGAGCAGGCGACTCGACATTGTATAAGTGACTCTCATGCTTCTATCGTAACTCAAAATCAATTTTGCATTCTATGCTATGTTGCAGGTGGAATGGGAGCCGTATGGAAGAGGGGATAGTTTTGGTAACCCTAGAGAGTTCGTGCTGAATCTGATGTGCACTAGGGATAGGGATCTTTGGCATATGCGGTGCCCACTCATATGCAACTGGGCAATTGAGCTTCACCTGTCACATTGGGTGTACCGCCAATTTGGTTTGTTCCAGCCACACCCGCCGGAGTGGGAGGACACGGACAAGTTGCTACATGGGTAAGATATAATTAACCTTGAGCACTTAGCAGCTTCTCGGCGGTTTCGATGGTGCTAATATTCTGTTTCTAACTTGTAGGTTGGATAGGAGAAAGCAGCGGAAGGTCAATGATTGGGACAGGCATCACAGGAAGTATATCGTACAGTTCATGCTTAGTGTGGAGAAAGCTAAGGTTGGAAAACGAGCCCAACTTCGTGAGCACTGTCATATTGTCTTCAACAACTATCTCACATGCTTTCTTGCAAGTACCCGTGTGGAGGTATGCAAGCCGGCGTATGCTGAGGAGATTTTGCAAGATCCCATCGTCTTTGATGAGGTAACCCAGCACCAGCACAACAAATTAGTCAGGGAAGGCACCTCAGTCCCTACAGCTCCAATAATGAACTTTGTGGTATTTCCCCTTTTTGCTTTCTCATTTGCACTATTCACATCTTCGCTTGCCTAACACGTTAATGTCGTTTCTATTCATAGCGTGCCCAGATAAAAAAAGCAGTCGGTGAGACTGAGACTATTCTGGAGAAAACCCCGGTTGGGAAAAGCGATGGCGAAGGTGCACTTCGAGCATTCATTAAGGTTCACATCTCCTTCAATTTTCCATGTAACATGTGTTGCTGCGTTCGATATCTCATTCACTTATACATGTTGTAGCGCCAGGGCCAAAGATTAAGGCGGCTATCGAACCTTGTCGGTTGTCGTGACCCTGAGTATGTGTCACCTCAACGGTCTAGGTCGGCGACACCATCATATCTCACTTCTGGCCATGGTGCTCCTTTGGAGGATGAGGATGTGGGTGTGGTCACCCAAGAGGTATGGCAATAGCATATATTAAATTATTGATGTATTGCTAACTTTATCCTCACACACGGTCTTCTCCATATCATTTGTTTTTGTAATAGGTTGATGATGACATGACCTTGGTGACCTATCAAGTTCGGTCAGCATACGAGTTAAAGCCTAGGAGGGGAATCAATAAATACACACCTGAAGACTTCACCCAAAGAGGCAAGAGGACGGTCAGAACCTCGCGGATGGCGGCTTTGGATGCCTATGTGGATGAGGAGGACGAACGGAGCCAAAGCCAGAGCGGGTTGCTCGTCCTAGGAAAGCGAAGAAGATAGCCAACAGGAGGGGGAGGAGCCAATAAGCGCAGAAGGAAGTAGTCGTCGTCCTTTATTTGTTATGTCGAACTTGTTATGTCGTTGAACTTGAAGTGGTGGTAGCTCTTAGTGATGTTGAACTTGAAGTGATTGTATCTCCTAGTGATGTTGAACTTGAAGTGATGGTCACTCTTAGAAATGTTGTCTTTGTTGAAGTTGAAGAGGTGTTGAAAATGTCATTGCGATGATCATTACTATTTATTCTGTGATGCAAGTATATGTCCCTGAAAATGTGCCTGAAATGACCCAGTTTGAGGCACAAAAAACACCAAGTGTTGGTGCCGCGCCCAGCACCGAGACGCCACACTGTATAGTGCAATGCCCAGAAGAGAGGCGTTGCACAACACAGTGCGGTGCCTCCCTGCTAGGCGCCACACCAACACTTAGAAAATTTTTGGCCCCAAACTGGGTGCAAACTTTCTGTTGCTCTCTAAATAGCTCTACGCAGGCGTGCAACGCCTCCAAGATAGGCGCCACACTATGCAGTGCAACGCCTAGCTCTAAGGCGTTGCACGCCTGGGTAGAGCTATCCAGAGAGATATGTTGAACGAAAAGTTTGGCTACCACTTGGTTGCCTTGGCACTTGTTGGCTACCACTTGGTTGGCTTGGCACTTGTTGGCTACCACTTGGTTGGCTACCTTGTGTAGCTCCTTGTTGGCTTGTGCTTGCATCATTTTTCTTGGACCTTTTTCTTGGTTTGGTACATTTTCTTTTGTTGTGTCCATGACCTTTGCGTTCCCCACAATGGGAGCTCTCACGAGGCTCTTGGAATTGGTCGTTGCCCAATTCGCGTCTGCCAGCATGGCCCCATCTATCCATGTCGCCTCTAAGACGCTTTGTCTTACGTCTACCCCGTGTAACAATCTTCAACTCCGGATCTGGCCATAGTTGAACTCCATGGTACTCCGGCCATTGTGATTGGTCAAGGTATGGGTGAAAGCGGGGAGCCCATGTTTTCTTGACCGTCATGATTGAGAACTCTGACTCCCTCATGGTGAGGGGGTGATGGACGTCCACATTCCTAACGCGACCGGCGGTATACAAGTGTGAGCATGGGAGATGAAGCAACAATGGCCTCCCGCAAGAGTAATCACACCGTGTTAACGAGACCTTGAAAGCCCGACCTCCATGTTAGCGGCCATCGTTTGTGGTTCCTCCTGGATCTTTCACTTCGTACTTCCACTCTTCATTGTCATATAGTATAGCTTCTTGTGAGTCCGTCTTCCGTGATTGAAATTCCAACCATTCATCAACCTTGGGTGGGAACTTGTACTTGTACTTGCGCTTGTTCTCACCCGCTATCTGTGCATCTATTTCCACCAAGCACTTTAGAAAGTACACATTCATCTTGTCAAATGTGTATTGAACTATTGCCGTCATGGGTAATCCACATGCACCTTTGAGCACCCTATTAAAGCATTCGGCCATATTGCTTGTCATTTGACCGTATCTCCGGCCATCTTCATCAAAAGCACGTGCCCACTTGTTCCGGTATTCAATGTGCCTATTGAGAAAGTCTTGACCCCCAGGAACAAGTTTTTTGTGTGGAGCAATTTGTTGAACAAAGTGGTGAGCCGCTTGTCGGAGAAAGCGAGAAAAAAATCTTGAAGATCATCAGCCAACTCCTTAAGGCCACATGCCCTATAGAAGTTCGAACAAAAGTGCCTCATGCACCATCGATGGAGCAACAGAGCATGCCCAAGAATGTCAATCTCCACCGTGTTAAGAATTCCTTGATGTCGATCTGATATGATACAAATTTCCCTCTGAGCGGGTAACACCTTCGTCCTCAAAAGACGCAAAACCACTCCCAATTATCATTGTTCTCCACCTCAACCAAAGCAAATGCCAATAGCAACACCCGGTTATTTGCATCACTTGCTATCGCAACCAACAAGGTGCCCTTGTATTGTTCGGTCAAGAACATGCCATCAATGGCGATGACCGGCCTACAGTGTTCGAAAGCCCTCGCGCATTGCTCGAACACCCAAAATGCACGGCCAAATACTCGGACTATCCTTCTGTCATGAACCGTTGTTTTTCCCCTTGAGGCTCGACCACATAATCCATGCCCGGGTTTGTGGCGGCCATGGCTAATAACAACCTGGGGATTCGGTTGTATGCTTCCTCCCAACTACCATACAACATCTTAAATGCGGCTTGCTTCGCCTTCCATGCCTTGCCGCATTTCACCTTGTAATGAAAGATGGCTTTCACAAGGTCAATGACATGTTGGATGCTCATTGTTGGAAGTGTGGATATTGAGTTGGAGAGCCGGTAAGCGATGAATTTGGACGTGAGTTGTCTGTGGTCTTGGGACACAACCTTGCCATCCACCCTTTTTCCTCGGCACGTGTGAGTTGGCACACAACTCACTACGTGCCAAGTGGGACCTCCTTTCCATGGTCTTGCATGCATAATCCACGGACATTTTCATCTTCACATGCACATGCAACCGTGTAGCACACGTTGACGTCCGAGTTCACCACCTTGTGTGGACGATAATGCGTAACCGAGTAGTTATCGAGCCACATCTTTAATTCCAAGAAGGTTTTGAACTTAGACCCTTTAGCAATCCCATTCTTGTCGTCATCCAAATCACAGTGAAATCTTGGCCTAAACCCAAGAGATATACCTTGGCCACCATCTACCACGGCTTCATCCGTGAGACTAACATCCTTGAACAATGTAGTCCGATGATCCCGACCGAATACCTTCTCGAAAGCTTTGGCCTCCTTCACCGTGAACCCCTCCTCATCAACTTGTTCATCGGGACCTTCGTCATCTGAATCCGATGCATAGCCACGGGAATAAGGGATGGAATGGTCCATTGTCTCTTGCAAATGATATTTGTCAAGATCACTCACATTGTTGTCATGGAGATCAACTTCATTGTCATCGTCCGCATACTCATCATTCTCCTCTTGCAAAGCTTCATATTGGTTGTTTGGAAACGGGCTCAATGTTGGCCTCACTTCTTGGGTCAAAAGAGGTTCAATAATTTCATCTCGGTTCAAGGGTGGGGGACTACTAGCAATCAAAGGGGAGGGGTTCCGGTTCAAGTCCAAATGCAAACTTGAATCAACCTTCTTTGTTGCAAATAACT